AGCTGTGAGAGGCTTTTGCCCTGGGCCTCTCTGCCCATAAATCAGAATCCTCTGGGATTCTGAAGAAAACATACACCATGTGGGCCTCCCTCGTTTTTGCTGAAAAAGCTGCAGTGAGATTTGAAGGAACTAATTAGAAACTCAGAAGCCCTTTTATGAGCATTTTTCTTCCCTTTAACTTTCTTATTGAGGAATAACATACACAGTGTGCACTCATCTAAGTGCATAGCTTGATGATTTATTTACATATATGTTCACCCTTCTAATCACCACCCACATCAATCCAGAGAACATTTCCACATCCCAGGTTTTTTGTGTCCATGCCTCGTCAATATCACACCCTCAGCCCGAGGAACCCACTGGCTTTCTATTATCGTCAATTAGTTTTGCCTGTTCCTGAGCTTCCTACAAATGGAATCATGCAATGTTGGCTTCGTCGTGTCTGGCTTCTTGTGCTTCATATATATGCCCATGATGTTCATCTCTGTTATACCTGTGTCCGTAGCTCGTCCTTTTTTGTTGCTGAGTACTGTTTCACTGTGTGAATATACCACCCCACAATTCATTTACCTATTCTCACGGGCGAAGGACATTCGGGCAGTTTCTGTGTTTGAGCTCTGATGAATAAAGCTGTTACATGCATTCTTATACACACCATTCAGCAGATATATGCTCTCATTCTCCTTGGATCATAGCGTAGGTATATGTTTAGTGTTAGTAGGTATTTCCAAGTAAGTTTCCAAAGAGCTCCTATCAATTCTCACTCCCTCCAACAGCCTAGGGACATCTCCCCACAACACGACGTTGCCCATCCCTAAATGCAGCCGTTCTGGTGGTGGGAGGTGTCTGTAGTGGTGACTTGCACTGTTAAAAATCTTCTAAATGTTGCCTGACTTCCAGAGCAGGGTAGCAGTACTAGCCAGCCTCAATGAGCACCCCAAAAGCAGAGTCCTCCTACTTGCAGTGAGCCCCTGAATGCCATGCCTCCTGCCAGACTGCACAAGGAAACATCTGCCCTCCAGGAGCACCCAGGGTGGCAGGAAGCCAGACAGATACCTGCTGTCATGTGGCAGGAGGTGCCCGAGAGGCATGACCTGAAGTTATGAGAACACAGCGGACTCAAGTGCCTCCCCCAGCCTTGAAGGAGAGCAGGTGTGGGACGGACCTGCCGAGGACCTGCACTAGGGCAAATCCATCCTTGCACATGTGCACGCCACGAGTGGGCGTGACTAATGTACTGGGGAGGCGCAGTGGTGTTGGGGGTGGGAGGAAGGGAGAAAGCCAGGTGAGGGCTGGTCCCATGGCCAGGCAGAGTCTGCAGAATGGGAGCCTCCAGCTCCAACAGCTTTAGGGCCTGTGGGCCCAAAGCAGTTTCTAAGCCCCTCTAGGCTCCTCACTCATTCAGCTCCAGGTGCCAGGGGCTCACCACCTCCTGAGGCAGCCCAGCCTCCTTTCTCTTCTGCCAGGCTGGAGAGAAGGGGCAGAGGATGAGGGTGATAGGGGTGAGGGAGAGGGCGCCTCAGCAGAGGGAGCATGGTCCTGGTCCCGGGGCTCCTCTGTGCGGTCGGTACCTGCAGACCCGTTTAAAAAACCCTTTCTCCCAGATGCTGTAGGGCGCCCGTGCACCAGCAGTGCCTGACCTGGGAGGGAGCCTGAGATGGCCCACCTTAAGGCCCAACTCTGGGACTACTGTCCCTTCCGCCATAGATGGCCCACCCAGAGTACAGTCTCATCCCCAGGCTCCCCTGTAGGAGAGCAAGGTGAGGCAGGGGCATGCCGCCCAGGTGCTGCTAGTTCTGCCTCTTACCAGCCCCTCCTCCCCACCCATCCTACACAGTCATCAACCCTCACCTCTGCTCCGTGGTCAGGCCTCAGAACCCCAGCCCTCTGCATCTTCGTCTTTTCTGCAGTCCCTCAGAGGCACCCTCTCCCTTGTGGGCAGCCCTGCCGCTCCGCATTTCAGCCCCTCCCTCCTGTACCTGCTGGCACTTCACATCCTCCACTGACATCCCTTCCCCGCATGAGAGACTGACTTGAATTTGTCCTTCCAGACCCAGATCGACCACCCTCCGGCACCTCCATGACCCAGACACTGCGCAGCTTAGGTGCTGTGTTGCCGCACAGTCCACACAGTTCTCTGTCATTGATACCACTCTGTCATTTGTCTGCTCCCTCTGGCCACAACCTCCCTGAGAGCAGAGAGCAGAATAGAAGGCAGGGTCTTTATTCTGGCTATGAAAACATATCCCAAGCACAACCCCGAGGCAAGCGAGGCAAAAAATGCTATTTAAAACAGAAGCTGGCTGCACATTCAGAGTGCAGCACAATCTGAGAGAAGATGGCTCATACGTTTAGAAAATAACTTGGCAGAGGTCTTAGTAGGAGATGCAGTGAGTCGTGCATGCAATGTACACACACGCTGTCCCCACACCCAGGCCAGACCGTGGGCATGATGTAAAGGGGACGGAAAAAGGAAATAGTGCCCACTGCTCCCCTCCCAGGCAGGGCAAGTGGGAAAGTGAAGAGATGGATATAGGCTTTGCGACACAGGACAGCAGGCTGAGGCCCAAGGGGAGGTGGGCAGTCATTGCTTGAGGAAGGGGTGCCCAAAGACCACATTTAAACACCTCCACCTTTTTTACTGTTCTTCTCAAATATGCGGCGAAGTCTGTTTGATGGCACATCCCTGTCCTGGGGGTGCCCTGGGGTGGGGGACTCAGAATGGAAGCGCAGAATTGAGAGAGGGCATTAAGAACGAGCAGGGCCAAGAGGTGGGATGGGGTGCAGTTTAATTGATTTGGATATATGGGGACAGGCAGCCCAGGGAGCTGGGGTCTTGGAAACTTGCAGGTCCCATGTGGAGGGTTATTAATACATTATTAATAAAAGTATTACTATCTGATAGCCAGTTCTACAACTCGACCCTCCTTGTCCAGTCCAGGAACTGGCAGGAAACAGGCACTGGTGTTTTCAGTGTTTGTTGAATGAATAAATGACCTAGAGAACTTTATCTCAGCCTCCAAACCCTTTGGAACACAATGTGTCAGGGAAGAATAGAATTCTCCATCCTGCAAAGCCACTTGGAGCCGGTGGTCTCTGCTCCATCAGCAGGTGCAGGGGCGGGGAAGAAATGGTCCCTCCCACTCTGCACGGCCCAGGCCCTGCCTGGAGTCTAAGGTCAGGGGCTGACCTGTACCAGGGACAGAGTGGACCAGCAGCCTGGACAAGACTGGGAAGCCAGCTATAATAGATGCTCTAGGACACTGAGGACCCCTGCAGTACACTGTGCTGCCTCAACATCCAGGTCTTTCACTGTCGTTTTTCCCTACTCTGCACATGATTTGTTCAGACCTCTGGCACTTAAGACTGTTGCTAGTAAGTGTACAGAAATCACAATAAGCAAACAATCAATAGCAAACTTTGAGAATCAGTAGGGAGCCCATCATGTCCTTGAGGAAGGAAATGATCCAGTTGGAGCCTTAAGGAACAAGGAGCGCTGGGCAGGAGGACCAAGAGCCCCAGGAGAAGGAAGGCGAGATACTGAATGCCTGCACAGGGGTTTGGGGAAGGAGGGCAGAGATGGACTCTGTCTTCTGCGACAGGAGGGACCAGCATCAATTCTGCTGTTCTGTACCAAGCCAGAGCATTGCCCAGAACCAGGCTCCCACCCCTAGTAAGTGACACGGCAGGACATCGCCAGGCCAAGAGACTCAACCACCACCACAGCAGCTGTTGCCCGAAATGAGAAGTACCGTTTATTGCTGTTACACAAATGGACCCAGCCTCTGGCTTGGGCACCGTCCCACGGACCAGCAGACGAACATGATCAGCTGGCCCCTTTCCCCACCCCCGAGTCATGTGCAGTCATACACTCCAGGCAGAAAGTCGCAGTATCGAATACTGGGCACAGGTTCCCTTGGCTTGGCGGTGCATCTCTGATACACAGACTGGCCCACCTTTCAGAGTGGCCAACAGAGCCACTGAAATGTTGTCAAATAAGCAAGTGCAAGAGTCCTGGGCTGGGGGCCTCTGGCCTCTGCAACCAGGTGGGAGGAGGACGTCCTAGATGTCTGCGGGGCAGGACTCAGCTCCACACGTCCGCCGGGACCACAGCCTCAGGTCAAGCTGTGCTGGGGCCATCCACCTTCCCTTTGCCATTTAGAAGATGGGGCTTGGAGCTTGGCAACACAGAAATTGACATCAGCCTTATAAAACCTTGGCTGAACCTACCGACCTCCAGAAGAATTTCAGCCAAAACAAAAAAAGTAAATACACAGAGGGACCCTGGAACCAGAATCCCCCCCCATAGGAAAGACAAAGGCACAGAGATTTGAGCCAAGTTTCCCAACATGTTGGTATTTGCAGAAAAGTCCGGTCACGTCACACACAGCACAGAGGCAAGAAGCGAAGGCAGTGGCATTCACAGGTCTACTTTATATTAAAGTTTATTACATTTGGAAAATCTACTGTACAGGGAAAAACCCATTGGATTAAGTACAGTTTTGCCAAAAGCAAAAGACTATCACTCTTTGGAAAATATTCCTGATTCCAGCCCAGGGCCCAGGGCGGGGCCGCAGGAGCTAACGGAGAACCTGGCCTTGGATGGAGGCACTCAGAGCCAGCTCTGCCCAAGATGCCCCTTGTCAATTTCCAGGAGGAAGACGCCCCTTGTCAATTTCCAGGAGGATGCCGCCCCTTGTCAATTTCCAGGAGGAAGCAGCTCCCAGAGACTGCGCCACAGGCGGGACAGGCCTGGTCTGCAGGAGGATCTCCAGGCCCCTGCCGCCCTCCCTACAGTCCTCTCTCAGTCTGAAGGCTGAGCCGCCAGCATTCACTTCTCACATGGGCTTCTCCAATGTGGCAGTGGCCCAGGCCTCAGCAAAGCCCTGAGCTCATGGACACAGGCACAACTGCTTGAAAGAGGCGGCGGCCCCACGGCAGCCTGGACTGGCCAGCCCGCCAACAGACCACCAGAAACGGGGCCACCAGACAGATAGTCCATACCCTGTTGCACACATGAGCGACAAACTCAGAGACAACACACAAACTAAGCCTACATTTTGGCTTCCAGATTTGGTTCTCCTAGTTTAAAAAAAAAAAAAAAAAAAGGTCTTAACCCTGATGCTGTCTCCTGACCATAGATTAGGGAAGCAAGATGGGGAATACCGAATCAACTTACTTAACTTACCTCAGAAGTAACAAGGTCTACTGGGCTATGAACAAAGAACTAGAGGAAACATGTGCAAAAACAAGTCGATATCTAGATCAGACCTCCCCACAAAACAAAGTGGACCCCTGTCCCCTGCCACTCAGCGGCCACGCCCCCAAGATGCTTGGTCCTACCAGTAAGTGCTATAGATGTGTGAGCCCCAAGCCCCACCCACAGAATCTTCCAGCCACATGAGGCCACTTAGGTCCAAAGCAGTCAGATCCCCCCTCCCCTCCAGAGCTGGGCCTGGGGAGAGGCTGCTTCAGTTTGGAGAAACTGAGTCAGAATGGTGCGATGCCAGGTGCTGGCTGTGGTGGAAAGGTCCTATTCGAGAAAACCCTGGTGCCCCAAGTCTCCAGGCAGAAGTCAGAGAAGCAGAGTAGAGCTCCCAGCATGCCCCAGGACTCCGTGGGCAGGAGCGGCCAGAGGGGCTGGAGTGCTGGGGAGGTGGCCTGGTGGCAGGGGAGGCCAGGGCCTGCAGTTCTTCAAGGAAGAGGCAAGTGGGGGCCTAGTGAGTGGCAGGGCGGAGGGGGTGCATGGCTCCCGCGTCAGGCGTAGAATTCCTCCTGTTTGGTGGGCTTCTGGTAGGCCCCTCCGTTGGCTTGTTTCGGCTCCTCCAAGGAGTAGCTGCCTTCGTCCTTCTTCTTCATGCGGTACAGCATGAAACCCACCAGGCACACAGCAAAGATGAGCCCCACGAGGCCTCCAGCAATGATCCCTAGGGCAGGTAGACGGGGCCAGCTCAGTTCAGCGGCTCCCTGGGCTCCACTGCAGACCCTCCCCCAAGTGGTGGCCTTGGCTGTGGTCAGCCCCACCCCGACCCCACAGCAGCAGTTCACCCCGAACTACCCCCCTGAGAGAAAACTCACCTCCCAGCACCTCCTTCCTGTCCAGGAGACCCTGCGAGGCCCCTGTGGCCCCCGGATCCACTGGGGACTGGTTCCGGTGGTCAGGCTCCACAGCCACTATAGCTGTGTTCTCCCCAGAGGTTTCAAAGGTGAAGTCCTAGGGGAGGGCAGGGGCAGATTGGGTTGGCTAGGTCACCGCCAGCAGCAGCAACCAGCTCCAGAAGCAGCTCCTGCCTCCCTGATCTTTGCCACCACCCACTCAGATGCACCCAAACCAGGATCGCAGGGGGCCCGAAAGCCAGGCCTTCCTGTCACATCAACTCTGGACCCTGGCTGGCCCATGGCATGGATATCACAAAAAGTGATACAAAGCATACATTTCTGTATGGAAACAAGCAGGCTTATTTTAGTGTAAAGTGTAAAAATCCCACGAAGCTGCAAGATAAAAAATAGGAGGACTTGGTAAAACGTTCACTCTTACAGCAGGGGCTGCAAGTTTGGATTGTAAGTTTGGGGAGCCCTCTCTTGGGTGATCTTTAAGGGCGTTTTTGCTCTGATCTCATAATTAGTCTGTCCTGCTCTGGGCGAGGCCCTGGGGGTACGGGAAGGTGGGTCCCTGTGTCCTGTCCTCCTGGTGAGGAATACGAGACACCCGCAGGGCACAGGTGTAGGGCGTGCCGGGTGCCAGGCATTAGGGCTAACCCACCCAATGTCCCAAGGAATGCAGAGGCCACTCACCTGCTCCCCAGAGCCCTCTGCTGCTGGGAGCTGACTGGAGGCTCCATCCTCAGCAGCCCTCTCGGTGGCAGAAGGACCTCCATCCTCTGTGCGGGGAGTGTGAAGGTCAGCTTGGCCGGGTCCTGCAGGGGCTGAGGTCTCATGGTAGCCAGGCTGCATGTCCCTGTAGGGGTGGGAGGTGGCGGGCTCCTGGGCTGTGGTGGCTCTGGCCGTTGGGGCCTGATGAGTGGTTGGGAGCTGTGTGGTCTCCGTGGGTTGGGGGGTGGCCTCCTGCTCCCGGGCAGTGAGCTCAGGCTCCACTTTTAACAGGACTACAGCCTCTCCCTCCTTGGGCCCCTCTCCAGCCGGCAGGGTGGAGGTGGAGGCAGCTGTAGCCTCCAGGCCAGTGGGTTCCGGAGACGTGGGAGTAGCCATCAGGAGCCACGTGTCCTTCCAAGTGGAGGGGGTCTGCTGTGACAAGGTGATATCTTGCAAAGCACCTGCAGGACCAGAAGCAGAGTGTGTTGGTGGGGGCTGGGGGAGGAGAACCAGAGGCAGAGTGTATTGGGGAGGGAGGATCAGAAGCAGAGCGTGCTGGGTTGAGGGGGAGGACCTGAACCAGTGTGCTGGGTGGGTCGGGGGAGGCCCCAGAGCACCTGGGCCGGCCAAGCTCAGGCTGAGGGAGGCTAGTACCTGGGCAAGGCAGCTGAGGCTAAGCTCCTTGGAAAATGGACAAGGAGAGCTGTCCCTTCTCATTGTATGTGTCCAGGGGCAGCCTGGTCTCTGGAGCCACGAGACAGGTGCCTAGGCCACCTTGGAAAGCTTTCCTGTGACCACAGGTGTGGGGTGGGCATCTCTTAGGGGCATAACTACTTCAGTTATCCTACCTATCCCAGGGTACACACCTCTCCGGCCCCACCCTCCCTGAAGGCCCCCGCTTCCAACAACAGATACTTCCAACTACAGATACCCTACCTTGCAGCTCTCAGGCCTCTGCAGGGTCACTTCCCCTGGGATGACCTCAGCCTCCTTCCTTAGCTCTCACCCCTCTTCTGAGGTCCACTCAAGAGCCACCTCCTCTGAGAAGCCTCCCTGACCACCTCCAGCTCAGGGACTTCTCTCCCCCAGGGAAAGGGGAAGTAGGAAAGGGAGCTTGGATGGAAGAGCTACACCCCAGCAGGCTCTGTGCTGCCTTACAGCTCCACAAGCTTATCAGGTCAAGGTATTATTCCCATTTTACAGATGAGAAAACAGAGGCTCAGGGGTCAAATAACCTTCTGAAGGGGGTTCCAGAGGTTTCCTAGTGAGTAAAGGTATTCCCAGTGAATATAAGCCTATGTGCAGCAGGCAGCCCTGCGGCCCTCTGGAGCTCACAGCCTTCACCTCACCTCCGAGCATGAGCTCTCCTTAACCAGGCAGCTCATGGACCCCATTCCTCTGCTCAGCATTGCCCTTTGGAGGCAGCTGGGTGGAGATGGGGCGGGCAGGGTGCACTCAGTACATGTTCAATAAACACAGGAGACTGTCTGACCACTGCCCCCAGGCATGACCTGTTGCCGTCTTGGGTGGGGGGCCCCCATGACAACCTCACCTGCACCTGAGCCGGAGAAGTTGTCAGAGTCATCCCCAGAGCCATCTTGATCTTCAGGGGGCAAATTAGTAGCCACAATTTGCTGGAAAAGGATCAGAATATGGTAAGAGTAGAGGCTTGGCCGGGGCTCTGCTGCTCCTGGGTCCTCTCCTAGACAGCTGAGTGGACTCGCCCTACCCTGTGCTGCACAGGTACACAGGGAGACGCCTCTCATGTGGCTCCAGGCCCCTCAGCTCTGGGCAGCACTTTGGTTCCCCTGCCCCAACCCCTGATGCTACAACACAGCCTGGTGCCGGGCACAGGGCACAGGGGCACAAGAGAGTGGGCAGGGCCCTCACCCTGAGAAGCTCAGTCTGGTGAGGGAGCTCCAGACCTCTCAGAAGGGCAGACAGGGAGTTGCTATTGGGAATATAGGCTGTGGCCCCCATGGGACCCCATCAGCCCACCCTACCCTACTCTTGGGGGTCATCAGCCAGGGAGCTTTGGGGCCGAAGATTGCCGACCCAGCCCCACTGAGGGGCTTTCGAAAATCCCCAAGAACAATCTCAGGACAACCTGGATGCAGAGGCAGCCTCCAGGCATGCTGGCCCCCAGGTGTGGACACCGAGGGCGGCACAAGGGGCAGGGGCACCGCTGGGCACGGGGAACTGTCTGTTCTGAGGCAGGTCTGCCCACGCAGGGCAACCCCAGGCCTGGCCCCGACACACCTTCCCACACTCGGCCCAGTTCCCATCTACAGTAAAGACTGGGTTCAGGCTCTCTGGTCAGAGTATCGTCCTCCTTGGGGAAGGAAGGACAGGGTGCCCATCGGGCTGGGGACATGTAAGGCTAATCTGTTAGGGGCCCTGCACGGAGAAGGCTCCAGGAAGTGGGCTGTGGACCTGGGACGGGTCCTGCTGGCAAACAGCAGCCCCAGGAATGCTACCCGCCTGCCCAGCTCCAAAAGGCAAAGGGGCCAGAGGGCAAACATATACACATCTCTGCAGTTCCTGAGGCCGGGGCTGACGGGCAGGACCGGGGGCGGGGGTGGGGAGGCAGGATCACACCACACACGGCAGGCCTGTGCAGAACCCTGGTCGGCAGCGAGGGCAGAAAGTCAGGACTGCCTTTGCCCTTCACACTGGCCCCAGGACCTCAGGTAAAGAACGGAAAACCCAGCAGCCAGGTGGCAAGAAGTGTGGCTTTGAGAGCCCTATTCAGCTTCAAGGCTCAGACCCAAGGACCCCACTCACTACACAGTCTATCTTGAGAGGGCCCCAATGTCTGGGACCAGAACAAAGAATGAAAAAATATGCAGAACAGCACAGTCCAGTGCACTAGCTTTAGGAACTCCGGACCCTGCCGCTCACTAGATGCGTGGTCCTGGGATATCATTAAACCGCTTATGGCTTCAGTCTCTCCATCTGTAAAATGGGGAAATAATAACATCTACATTCCAGGACTGCTGCCAAAATTCAATGAAGCTATGCCTAACACAGCCTGGCACGCAGTAGACACGCAGTAGGCACCCACAAACAGTGACCACTGTCTAACTAGGGGGGGCCTCAAATGCCAGCAGGCCTGTCTAGAAAGAGGGTAAAAGGGAGGCAGATAAAGTTTCATGAGAAGAGGGGGACAGGAAGAAGTCAGTTCACCAGAAGCCTCTGCACTGACTTGTCACCCACCTGAGGCTGGGCTCCAAAGGGAAAGGGCCTCCTCAGCCCAAGAGGCCTTGTCAGGCCCTGGCCATAGGCCCATGGGTCTCACTCCTGGGAGTGCAAAGCAGAGAGGGACAGACACCTCCTGCCTCCTGAGGCAGCCCTGGGGCAGAGCCGGACCAGGTGGAGGCTCTACATCCAGGGGCCTGGGTTAGAGGAAAGCATCAGACACGTGTAGAAACCACAAGGTCAGAAATAACACTGAACTTCCTTTGAAAGGACAAAAGCAAAACTGTACCTTCCTTCCCCCAAGAGAAAGGTTTTGACCCTATAAGGGCCATCCATAGCCCATCTACAGCAAACAGCCACATTCCACCAAGGCTCACCTACAGTGAACAGTCACTGTCCACCATGGCCCATCTACAATCAATAGCCATTGGCTGGTGCAGTGGCTTACGCCTGTAATCCCAGCACTGTGGGAGGATCACTTGAGCTCAGGAGTTCGAGACCAGCTTGGCCAACATGGTGAAACCCCCATCTCTACTAAAAACACAAAAATTAGCCAGGCATGGTTGCGCATGCCTATAGTCCCAGCTACTTGGGAGGCTGAGGCAGGAGAATCCCTGGAATCCGGGAGGCAGAGGTTGCAGTGAGCCAAGATTGCACCACTGCACTCCAGCCTGGGTGACACAGCAAGACTCCGTCTCAAGCAATCAATAAAAACCAACAGTCATAGTTCATGCTCCCCCTGCCTCCACACAAGACCACATCTGATCTATACCATCTCTATGTGGTGCTTCAAACACCTGTGCTGCCTCCACAGAGCTCTGAAGCTGCCCTGGCCTCCCTCAAGCCTGTCCCCTTCACCAACAAAGAATACTGCCCACCGGGGGGAGGGCACAGAGTGGGCACCCCCACCCATACTCACTGAAATCATGGCTTCACTCTCACCCAAGGACTCTGCCCTGCCCTCTCCTGCTGCACTGCCTCCCTGAAGAGAAAGCTCAAGATGGGGCAAGGACAGAGCAAGGCATTGACACTTCGACCCCACAAGCCTCCACTGCATTGTAGAGTGCCCAATCGTTGAGCAGAAGCCAGAGCCATTAGATCCATGCTCCACTCAACAGATGAGGCCACCGAAGCCCACACGAAAGACACACACACTGGGGCCCATGTATAGCCTGGGAGGCACCGCCCAGTGGGACCCAGGAATGCCACGGAGGCCCCAGCAGGTTAGCAGTTTCCCAAGAGCAGGGCTTTCCTCCTGACTAGATAGGCATTTCAGTCTGCCCGGTCCCTAAAACAATTTGTTCCCTCAGCTCTGCTGGCTTATCCCTCTGCAATCTTGTTTACACAACAAGCTCTTAAGCAAATGTTTTCTCCACTGAAACCAGCTCCCTGCCCTCAGGGGCCTCTCCCCTCCCTGGGCCTAAGGGGATGGGCTAGAGAGACCTCCCAAATCTCCTCCAGCTTGAACCTTCTGTGACAGCCCCTCAAATGAGGAGAAGGTGCGATTTCAGCCTCCTGGGGAGGAAATTAGCAGAAACTGCTGAGTTTGAACTTGGATTACCAAGGTGCGGGCCGAGTCCCAGAAAGGAGTTTCCGGTGAGACTTCCGATTTCCTTTAGCAGGCCTGCCGTGCTGACGGCCTGCAGCACACTGCCTCTAGGCCTCCTGGGCAGCTCTCCTCAGCATCATCTCCAACCTGGGTGCTTCCGAGGTGCTTGGCCACTGTTCAAGGTTGCTCAGGAACAGGTCGCCTCAGCTTGGAGCCCACCTCATGCCCTGCCCAGGAAGGCAACAGGCCAACCAGCCTTTAACCTCTGTAAGTCCCAGGAAAACCAACTGTTCATAGAACGAATCAACAACTTTGTGCTAGGTAAGATCTAGGCTTCCACTCATTCTGTTTGTTCAAAGCAAGGGATGCCTTGCCCCTTCCCCACCCACAGTGCAGACACTAGAAGCTCACTGAATAGAAAGCCCAAGGTTTGGCTCGCCTGGGGGCTGGGGGATCAAGAGGCAGCTGCCAGGAGTCTGGGGACAGGGAGTTAGGGAGTCATGGTCAGGTCAGCCCATCTCCGTCTCAGCCATGCTGGTCTCCTGGCCATACCCTGGGGAGAATCCTGGGGTCAGGGCTCTGACCCAGCAAGAAAGAAGGTGTGAAGGAGTGTGGCCTTCTCTAAGGCTGGAAACACTTTCCACCCATTCCTCTTTCACCCCTACAACTCCCCTGCAGATGAGGCAGCAGGGCTGAGAAGGATCTCTCTCCCTAGCAGATAAGGACTAGAGCCTCTAAAAGGCAAGGGACTTGCCCAGGGCTGCCCAGACACTACAATTTCCTGTGCAGCAGCACTGCTCTCCTCACTTGCCATCCCCTTCTCTCTCCCCAGCCCCACCAGCTGAGCCCATCAGTTTTACGGAAAACCTGTCTAAGGCTCCTCAATGGGACAGAGTTTCACTGAGTTGGAATTGCTGAGCCTGCCCCAGCAGTGAAGCTACCCAGGGACCAGCCCACATTTGAGGTGGAGAGGAAACGGCATGGACCGGAAAGGGACCTGTGCCATGAGGGATGGGGAGTCATCATCACCCGCTGCCAGCCACTACAGAGCACATCTGAAGTCTGTGGGCAGAGAGCTGGCAGAGAAGCTTCCAGAAAGCAGCCTCAAGCCAACTGCCAGCTTTTGCTCCCATACCAGAGGTAAAGAGGGCCACTCTCCTTGGCAACCTCTGTCTCAGCAGAGCCCCTTGCCCTGGCCAGCCCTGGGGCTAAGGGGCAGCTGTGCTGCAGCTCCTCTACAAGACAGCTCAAAAGTGCCTTGGCGGCCTCAGAAGCTAGGATGTCCAGTGGGCATCTCAGACAGGTTCGAGGGAGGGCGGCAGGCCCAGTCGCTAACCTGAGAGGTTGCCCCTCTAACCCTACCCCATCAGCCTGAGGCCATCAGGTCAGAAGGCCTTTGGTTTCCAGCCCGCACCCTCAATCACTAACATTGGTCACTTGCTGCTTGAAGTGAGTGATGGGTAAAACACAAATCCCTTAAAAATCATTACTGACAGCCAGGCGCAGTGGCTCACGCCTGTAATCCCAGCGCTTTGGGAGGCCGAGGTAGGCGGATCACCTAAGGTCAGGAATTCAAAACCAGCCTGACCAACATGGTGAAACGCCGTCTCTACTAAAAATATAAAATTAGCTGGGCGTGGTGGTGTGCGCCTATAGTCCCAGCTACTTGGGAGGCTGAGGCAGGAGAACCACTTGAACCCAGGAGGTGGAGGTTGCAGTGAGCCAAGATCACGCCAGGAGCTTTGGAAGAAAAGAGGGAAGAAATAGTCTGGTCCTGGCCCGGCAGAGCTCCCAGCCCCCCAGAACGTATGGCCAGGTGTCCAGCTCCAGGGGGATTTAAAAACGGGGAGCTTCAGAGGCTGGAGTACAGAGGGCTGCCCTAAGGGAACTACTAGGGCCAGGCCTTGAAGCCCGCAACCCAACCCAGGAGAGGATAAGACAATGCTCACCCCAGGCGCTAACTTGGGCAGCGCAGGGGGCCTCTGATTCGCAGTCATCCATGGTGGAGCAGGAAAGGGA